CCTCCCACCACCACCCCCACCGCACTCCACCCCCCATCACACACACACACACACACACACACACACACACACCCATCAGGGGACATGTGGAAGGCAACCAATCGATGTGTCTCTCTCATATCGACGTTTTTCTCTCTCTGTCTCTCCCCCTCTCTTCCACTCTCTAAAAATCAATGGAAAAATATCCTCAGGTGAGGATTAAAAAAATAAAGGAATATTCACATTGTTCACAAACATCACCACTATCCACCTCCAGAACTTTTTCACTTTCCCAAACTGAAACTCTGTTCCCATTAAACAATATCTCTCCATTCCCCTTCCCCCAGCCCCTGGCAAGCACCATTCTGCTTTTTATCTTTATGCATCTGACTATTCCAGGTACCTCACATAAGAGGGATCATACAATATTTGTCCTTTGGTGCCAGACATTTCATTTAGCATAAAATGTCTTCCAGGTTGATCTGTATTGTACCTTGTAGTCCTGATTACTCTATCTGTTATTTTACACAATCTACGTAACTTGGATCAGCATCATAGATTCTAGTTCCTTCTGTGTCAAATGTGCATTTTGTTTCTATGTTGCTATATATTTTACTTGATTTATTTCCTTAATTCTGCCAGCTCACTGTTCTTCTCCAATTCCGATCACTTATATCTCTTCTTTAATCAAAGGGACTGTTTTCTTTATTTCCTTCAAATGTTATGTTGAAATTGTCCTATTTCTTGGAGCAATTCTTCTTCCAAAGTGTATTCTTCGTCTGTCCTTTGCTTGTCATGCTTTCTTTTTCCTGTTCTTTTTGTACTATCTTGGCTTGCATCTCCTGTTAGATCCCTTCGGCTTATCACTCCTCTTTGAATAGGGGTAGTTTTATCTGATGCTGAAAGTGAATTCTATACTTAACCTTCCATTTGCCTTGGCTTTCTTCCACGGTTCTCTGAACAGTAAACCGGCTAGCTGGGGGTTATCGTTGGTTTGCAATCGCTGTTGAGTCCTTGGCTTCTCTGGTGAATAGAGGGACATAACTGGGATTAGTAGACAGTTGAGTGTCTCGATGCAGTTATGCTGCGTCGGAACATTTTTCACACCGAACCTGATGAATTATTCTCCCTGGGGGCATGCGTAGATCCATGGAAGGAGGCCTCCCTGAGATTTGAGCTACTGCCTCTCCTTTTCACAGACAAGCAGGTCATTCTGGTTGCAAGCTGGGCCCTTACCATGTTCCACAGCAGGGGTTAGGTTAAGATTGTCAAATTTAGCAAATAAAACTACAGGATGCGCCGTAACCAGTTTGTCTCTGTGGATAGAGCATTGGCCTGCGGACTGAAAGGTCCCACATTCGATTCTGGTCAAGGGCATGTACCTGGGTTGCGGGCACAACCCCAGTAGAGGGTGTGCAGGAGGCAGCTGATCAATGTTTCTCTCTCATCAATGTTTCTAACTCTCTATTCCTCTCCCTTCCTCTCTGTAAAAAATCAATAAAATATATTTAAAAAAAAAAGAAAAAAAAGAAGAGGTGAATCTCGAGGAACAAGCAGTCTCTACCAGGGTTTCATCTCTGCTACTCTCTACAAATTGACTCTTTCCTTCTCTACAGACCAGCCTTCTCTGTTCATGGTTTCTGAGCCCTCACACTTTCTATTTCTACTTACACAAGATTTGGGGTGGCCACAACGTCAACTCGTAGCCCAACACCACAGGTCTTTTCTGTTCCAGGGCCGCACGTGGTCTAGCCGCCTCAGGTTCTATGTCTCAATTCCAAGCACCTGGAGAGAAGGCTTGATTTGTCTAGCTTGGGTCAGGCCATGACCTCCTCAATTCTGAGCCAGTTGTCTGTGGCCTGGGGCATATTGTCCGAATGTACATAGTAGAACAGTGTCAAGGGCAGCAAAAGAGCCCAGGACTCCTGGTTCCCAGTCCCTGGAGCGATTTCCCCAAATCCCCCAGCACTTGTCTCTGCTTCAGCCCCTGCCCGGAGCTGCGGGGCATCTCCCCCAGATGTGGCCCAGGAGAGCCCAGGTTGGAGGACATTGCCAGCATCACCTCAAGTCCATTTCCTGCCCGAGCCTCCCTGCCAAGGTCAATGTCACCTCACAACTCCAAGCCGGGCCCCTCTGGGGAGAGTCCATTCTGACTAGGCCTTGGCCGAAGCGAGGCTCTGGATGCAGGGACGCTCACCGAGGTGGGCTGGGTAATAAAATAAAGGTGGGAAACAACATCTAAATGGCCACCACCCTGAGCTGCTCTCAGAGGAGGGCCCGGCCATAGAAAAGAGCTGATGCCATCCTCTCCAGCCCCCTCTTCCTTCCCCCTGCCTCCCAGTTCCCTCAGGCCTCATGGTGCCTGTTCTCTCACACCTCCTGCCTCCACAGGCCTCGAACCCTCTGTGGCAATCCCGGGGCTCCACCACCGTGTCTTCGGGAGGCCGTTTCCGCTGCCCATCTTGCAGACATGAGGTTGTCCTGGACCGACATGGTGTCTACGGCCTGCAACGAAACCTGCTAGTGGAGAACATCATCGACATTTACAAGCAGGAGTCTTCCCGGTGAGCTGTCAGGGCCTCCTGTCTCTCTAGAGGGCAGGGCCTGGGGCACAGCCTGGGAACCCATCGGGGTTGAAGGGAAAGGCACCAAATCAACCTGCCCCTTCAGTTGAGAGTTGAGAGGGGAGCGGAGAAGGGGAAGGACTTGTCCCAGGTCACTCCGCTGGGGTGGTCTCTGATTCCTGGTCACTGCTTCGCCTTCACTCTCCACCTGGGAAGGG